AATCGGAGCCACGGTTGTCCCAAACAGATCATAAGTGTAGTGACTGTTAGAAGCGATATAACTTTTTGAGAGAAAAAAATATTTGTAACAATCACTGGAGCAACAGCTTCTTCTACAATAAACACTCTTAGGTAAATATTAAAAATAGAGATTTTTTAAGTCACTAAGAATGGAGGGGAGGATTTGGTATTTGATTTCAATATGTCACATGATTAAAAATCTTAGATTTGTGAAAAAAATAGAAGAAAGAAAATGAAATTCTGATGTTACACTAAAAATTGTCTTGATGTTTAAGAGTTCAAATATTGAACAAGCTCGAGTTCGAGCTCGTTGAGGCTTGTGAGCCATCCCTTTATATAGTCAATAGTTGAGTCAATGCCTTCTCTAGTGAGCTTTCGTGATGACTTCTTATATTTTTCGAGAAGCTTTTGTAACAACTTATTTTCTTGGCTCGAGTTCATAAGCCTGACTCATGGTCTCACTGTAAGTCTTTCGAACCTAACTCGAGCTAACCCTTCGAGCTCGAGCTTCTGCTCTCATATGCAAGTCAAACTTGAATTGGGCATAACTTGAGGAATGCTCTACTCTTCTACACGTGATTCATCTTTATCCAAATGTGATTTGGATAAGCCCTTCGTTTTCAAGGTTTATGAAGTGCAAACGGCACCGTGAGAAGTCAATAATCCCCACATTTGGTCAATTGAAATTAGGAAGATTTACATACATACCACTCAATTCTTACATATTTATATATCTAACACTTAAACTTCAATTTTTACATACATACCACCTTACTCATGCATGGGGCATTTTTTATGTAATATAAAAAATAAAATTAGATGAGTTGGATGGTATATATGTAAATGTCCGTTGATATTAAAATTAAAAAATGGGCAATTAGGTATAACTTACGCGGAACCGAACTAAGTATGTCGAAGTTTATTCAGAGGATATTGGGGGTTATAATAGGTTCAGGGGTGTAATGTATCTATAACTTCTAATATACGAAGTTTTGCGTGTCTTTCGCACGTAAATTTTTCACGAGTGGAGGGCTTATATGTAATTATTCCAAAAAAAAAAAAAAAAAAAAAAAAAGAAAAAACCCTTTTTTCTCGGATGAGCCGTCGTGAGACTCTGGAGTCTCCGACTAACCACTCTTCCCCTATCTCTTACTTCACTTCTACGCTTAACGATGGAAGTTTGCATCGCCCCGCATCCTAGCTCCGGCGGCGTGTCATGGCGGTCGCGTTGCTTCATCGGCGGAGGCCTTGTGCCGCAAAAGAGATGCCGGCGATCGTCGGAGAAGAGGAGCACCTTACCATCTTCCGTCTCTCACCGCTCTTACTTTATACCGCTCTTCACGAGGAGTGCAGGTCATGGCCGCTTCTGCTGACTCTAAGATAAACCCTCAATCAGAGGCGGTGACATGGACACGGCGGATCAAGGCCATTGCGGAGAGGACGAGCGATGCCATGGAGCAGCTGGACTTAGAGCGCGGAGTCTGCGTGCCTTTTCGGAAGTATACTCCCGAAGCAGTAAGTTTAGTTTAATTTACATGAGCATGTCGTTCTTTGTACTTGGAGTTCGTCAACAAAATTTGCAGTGGTTTTGGTGGCTAGGTTAGAAATAAAGTTTTGGAGTCTAGAGGGGCGATACTGTCTCTTATTGGAAGAGGAGTGGAAATTGTTTGGAATTTGGGGTTGTATTGGTTGACGCTTACGTACGATTGCCTTGTGGGACGCGACGAGGAAGTGGTGCCATATAGGGCTCGTCAGCTCCGCAATCTTCTTTGCGACTTAGGGCCTTCGTTCATCAAAGCCGGGCAGGTGATTGCTTCTTTATTTTTTGTGTTATGTTTTTTGATGGAAATTAGCTGCTGCTTCATGTCTCGAAGCGTCCCTTTTTTGCTGTTTGGTGATTATATATTGGTTTGATCATAGAAAGAACAGTAAATTTTATAGGCTCTTCATCAGGAGTTGTGTTATCAAGTTGCTTAATTGGTTCGTCAACTACAATGGGCAGGATTAGTTCGGCATCACATTCAAATTGATTTCATTTATGTTAGAAGTTCATATAACATCTCTTGGAAGCATACTATTGATTGGATTTAGCCATGAATTTAACTTAAATCTAGTCAGACATCAAAAAAATAAAATTAAATCCAATGCTCCGTTAAACTCAATTTTCCTGCGTTTCGTGTTTTACTTCTCGAGTTCGTCATTTTTAGGATGTAAATTTGGATTTCATAAATCAGATTGCGAGGCTAGCAAATTCTTCCGTTGCAGTAGCGATCGAATAAATCCGGAATTATATGATTTGGTAAATCCTGTTTAATGTAAATATAAGATGCAACCAAACACCGCCTTTGGCTCAAATTGTAACTCTTGCTCAATTTTAAGTATGATTCTTGTGTGGAGATTTATATTTAACAACCTTAGATGTACATTTCAATTTTAACTACAAATCTTCTTTTGCATCTAATACAAATTATGGGTGAATTCACAAAATGCAATCTCTTCTGGAGGATAAAATTCTTTCACAAATAACTCATTTGTTGGTATGTTTTTGACATGTCTTTGGTGAGATTTTATTGCATTTTGTTTAGGAATATTACACACATTTTCAATAGTTCTAAAATGATAAATTTGTGCTTTTTTTCAATATTTAAAGTTTTACATAAAGCTTCATCCGGTGTTCTTGGTTAATTTAATGTAATTTGCTATTAATTTCTAATAGGATAAAATTGTGATATTTCTCAATTTATAAAGCTTTACGTAGTGTTTTTTGTGAACATGATGTAATTCAACCTTGATTTTTTTCCTAATATCTCTTATGAAATAGATAATAGTACTTTAATATTTTAATGACAACAATTATTCGGCTATAAGACTTTTGAATTGCAACAATTACATAGGAATTCAGTGTTAAGTATATATATCGTTCTTAAGTTTAACCACCATTCTTGGTTTGATTGCACCAACATTTTAGTTGACAGGGTTTAGGGTGGTATGTATTTAAATGTTCCTAAAGTTAACCTCTTGCAATTATTGTAGCGACCCTGTTAACTATCCATCTGCTATTGTTGCTCATTAATACTCATCTTCGATGGTGAGATAGGTTTTGGCGAGCAGGCCGGATATAATACGAGAAGATTACATGAATGAACTCTGTATACTACAGGATGATGTTCCACCTTTTCCCAATCAGGTACTGCTTTTGTTCTTATCACAAGTTTTACCTTTTCTTTGTCAAGCAGACTTTTTTGGGATTGGTGGCAATCTTGTCTTCATAAGTATGCAGATTGCTTTTCAAATTATTGAAGAAGAGTTGGGACAACCTCTTGAAAAGATTTTTAGCAGGATTACATCACATACTATAGCTGCGGCAAGTCTAGGCCAGGTCTACAGAGCCACACTTCGAGAGACTGGAGCGGATGTTGCTATTAAGGTTGTAATGGTTGATAAATTTTTGGGGTATTTACGCACGCACTAGCCAGTTCCTATATATTTACATATCAAAGCTTTCATATCAAATCAGAAGTACCACCGTTTTAACTTTTAAAAAGTGAAATACGCCTTTCATGTGTAGCTAAAGTGGTATGGTATGTATATAAAAATTGAAGTTTAGGTATTAGATATTCAAATACATAGGAATTGAGCGGTATGAATGTAAATCTTCCTAAATTTTATTTTCAAAGATCATCTTTCTATCCTCTTTTTTCTTTACATGATTGATTCTAACTTCAACTTAAAATAAATGAGGAAAGTTAATTGCCTCAGGAAAACAATTTCAAGAATTGCTAGTAAGCAACTGTAAAACAGATGAATCGAAGGTGCTGAAAATAGGGGATTGAATTCAGACGCACTTGTGAATCCATTGAGAGCTAAATCAAAATAATTTGTAACAATAAATCAAGTCCAGTAAAGGTAAGAAAAATTCAAAGAATACTTCCCATTCTTATAGGCACCATCATCATAGAAATATTTACAATGAAGTTAACAAGAAAACATAAATTAATACAACTAGAGCAACATTATCGAACATGGTTTGCATATTCAATGAGTGTATATTATTAGATTTGCATCTCGTGCAGTCTTCGTTCTGGTTTCTGTACGATTTCAATTCTATTGTGATATTCAATATTCTTTTCATGATTTTTTTATTGTTTAGTTGTTTCATTACATGCATGATTCTGACATCATGTTTATTAAAACATTTTTTGTGTTTTACTCTTAAATAAATAACTATTTACAGGTACAAAGGCCTGGAATTGAGCCTATTATCTATAGAGATCTTTTCCTGTTTCGTACTCTGGCCTCTTTTCTTAATGGTATCAGTCTTCGGAAGCTTGGCTGCAATGCTGAGCTTATAGTTGATGAGTTTGGTGAAAAGCTTCTTGAAGAACTTGATTACACACTTGTATGTTTGCATATCAGTTTTACTCTGATGCTTTCAAATTTTCTATTATGTGCTGCTTAATATTTGGTTTCTTCGCTAGTTTTTTATATTTGTACCACCCAAATCTTTTATATCACATCTAAAATATCTCCATTTTAGCTTTTAAAAAGTGAGATGCACCTTTTCATGCATATATAAGGTGGCACATAAACACAAGCGTGCGTGCAAAATTATCATATATTACATATCTCACGCCTAAACTTTCATATTTATATACATAGCACTTTTGGTTTTCCTTACAATTTCGCATGAAAATGTGTACTTCACTTTTAAAAAGTGATAAATGTGTTATTTTTTATGCAATATTAAAGATTGGAGCGTTGTGTGTGTAAATATGAAAGATCATGTGTGAGATTTGAAAATAAAGTAGATTTGTGTGCCATGTATGTAAATGCTCCTATTATTTATATATGGATATGTAGCACAGATGGTACTTGCAACATAGGAGTTTATCATAATCAGCATCTCTAATGCTCCAAAACAGCTTTTTTTCTTGTTCTTCCTTAACTAAAATGAAATATTTTTAAATTTTAGGAGGCTCGAAATATAGAGGACTTCTTAGAGAATTTCAAGGATGATCCAACTGTCAAAATTCCTCAAGTTTATAGGAAGCTTTCAGGTTCACGCGTCCTTGTCATGGAATGGATTGATGGGATTCGATGCACCGAACCCCAGGTCTGATTATAGTTTTCTTGAATTCTATTTTGTGTCAAGTTTTATTTTCCTTCTATTTATTTATAATATGTGACAAAAAAACTCACTTGCATTCTGTAGATTAGTAAACATCATTCCTGGAACTTAATTTTTAACCATGAATTACTTTTGACATCTAGTTGCGTAACTATCCGTACAAAACATGACCATTTTCCTTTCAACAATCCACCTATTTTCATAAAGGTTCATTTTTAACTTTTTTCTTTTATGGCCTTGAACAGGCAATCAGAGAAGCAGGTATTGATGTAAATGGATTTTTGACTGTTGGTGTAAGTGCCGCTTTACGCCAGCTTCTGGAATTTGGATTGTTCCATGGAGATCCACATCCCGGAAATATTTTTGCAATGCGTGATGGCCGTATAGCTTATGTAGACTTCGGAAATGTGGCTGTGCTTAGTCAGGTTAGTTAACTTAATTCTTTTTCATTACTTAAATTATCGGATATGGACCAGGGATTTTCAAGAGCATCTCCTGCTAAAACTATTTTTCCTTTTGGTGCTGATGACATGAAACTAGAATTGTGGGGCATATTGGTGTCGAAAGCATGATTAATGAATGGCATGAGCTTTTGCTCATTCTGATAAAAGTTTGTGCGCAAATTTATTGCCCTTCTTTAGGGATATCAGCTCATCATATGGAAAAGAATCAATATCATAGAAAGCAATCCTGTTTACATAAATCGGAAGACTTTTTAAGTATGCTAGCTATATGAATTAGTTATACAAATTTCTTTCCATGATTCAGTGAGAGCAACTGAAACAATAATTTATGTATACTCTTTTTTTTTATCTGCATATTTCATTGATATCTTCTCTCAAATCGATATTGATTTCTTAAGAAATGTTAATTTATCCATAAGAAACTTGTATACACAAATACGGTTATATACCCAAACAAAGACTTTTATATACACAAATACGGTTATATACCCAAACAAAGACTTTTATATGAAGTCTGATATGGAGGCCATCAAATCTTGCAAGCCTAGTAAGCTTTTGTCGAGGAATCATGCCATTTCCGTGAGTGAGCCCATCTTCAGAAATGTTGAACTGAGCCCATTTGTCGAAGTCGTTGAACTTAACCCACCCGCCAAAGTGGCTGACATGTACTTACTTGCTGAAGTAGATGAACTGAGCCCACTTGCAGAAGCACCTAGATTTATCACTCCCGCAGATCACGCCTCTAGGGAAGGACAACTACCAGAGATGGTTATTCGCAAGAATGCAAGTCCATCTTGTAAAAGCTCCGTCTGACATCCACGTCAAAGTCATTTCACCAAGACACCGCAGATGGGCATAGTATTGTATGAAATTTCTTTTTTATTTTCTTCTTTTTTATGTATAAAAGGGAAATCAAGAGAGGGAGAAAGAGGGAGGGACTCTCGGGACTAGAAAAAACCCTAAATCTTTTTGACACACACACTCTCTCTCTTACAAGAAACCCTAGTTCTTTTTGAGATACTCTCTCTCTCTCTCTAAAGTAAAAGTAATCTAAGAAATCTCCTCCAAGCTATTTTTTTTACTTACTGGAGTTCAAACTCAAGAGACAAAACCGAAAACACTCTCTCAAGCATTGCATGCATTCCTTTCTTCCGCTATCTTTTTAAAAATTAGTCTTTATTGAGTTGCGTGTACTCACGAACGATACAGAACCCTACGTCCTAAAATTGATATTTTTATGTGGCATAATGTAAAAACTGTAAATCATATGTCACATCGGGAATAATAGCGGACATTTAGAAAATTCTAGAGGCATTGGTAATAGTAACCTAAAACTTTAATTATTAGTTATATAATAATCAAATTCAATTAAAAATTAAATTAATTTAATGACCTTACATTGAAAAGTGCCCCTTGATGTGGGCGTTGAAAGTGCCCCCGAAGCATGGCATGCTCAAAACCTGCGGAGCCTCTTGCCTCGAGAACCGTCGCGAAGGTAGGAGCCGCAACCGTCACTAAGGCGTGAGCCGCGAACCATCACGAAGGCAAGAGTCCACGAACTATTGCAGAGACAGGAGGGATTCACGAAGGCAGGATCGCGAACCACCGACTGCGCCCTTCCTTTGGTGACCTTTCGCATATAGGAAGTACTTTTTTGGATTCTTCTTGCCTTCCCACCTCTTCATTTTGTGTGGGAGTTTTCCTTTTTAATTTTTTTATATTCTTCTATATTAGGAATTTAGAAATTGTTGTTTTCTGTGTGTAAGAGTCAATTCTGGTTGTCTTGTCTTCAAATCTCTTGTGTAGAGTCATTTTCTCTCTTACTAGGGTTGTATTCGACGATAGGTGGTGCTATCGCTGTATCCTGCTCTGAGGTGGTGTTGTTCCTTTCAATCTCCATTTCGTCTCCCCGGTCCTTCTCTTATCTCTCCCATTGCCGCCGACCACCCCCATAACCCTTCATCACTTTGACGCCACCTCCACTCCCTCCACAACTTTGTTGTCTAGCTTACTTACGACCAACCAAACACCATCCCAACCTCCCCCATCTTTCCCTGTGATCCCGCCGCCTTCAGATCTCTTCCTACAGCCCTAACTAGAGATTAGTCAATTATTGTATTTTCTTACTATTTGAGTCATGTTGTAACCTTATTTTAATATTAATAAAAATTTAATTTTATGTTCCGCTACATTCTAACTAGTTTCGGTATCATTTGGTATCAAAGCTAGCCCGACCCTAGTTTCATTCTAAAGTTTCCTAGCATCTGCCCCTAATCAATTCACCTCCATCAATTTTTTTTTCTTCCAATTTCCAAACTAAGCCATGCCACTGTGGAGAGATACACCAGACTCGACCTAGGAAGAGATTCAACTAGAAATCCGTCGTCTGCAACGAAAACTAGTAGAGCTGGATGACAGAAACTAGGAAGAGGTTATCTTTGACCGTGATTGGGAGGTTTGAAGAGAAGACGGGGATGAGGAGGTGAATCTATTCCACAGGGAAGATCACAATGACGAGGAATATCGACTACGCTGTTTTGATATCTAATATCAAAAGAGGCTGAGAGAAGAGACCCATTATGGAGGTCAATAGGACTTTGGCATAAGGATGGACCTCCCAGAATTTGAGGGAGGCATTGAATCCGATGAGTTTATCGACTAGCTGCAATTAGTCGAACGGATCTTTGAGTATAAAAACGTATGAAAGGACAAATGAATCAAGCTAGCTACACTTAAATTGAAGAAGAATGTCTCCTTATGGTGGAAAATCTACAAATATAGAGGAGAAGAGAAAGAAGTGAGAAGATAACTAAGTGGGAGAAGATGAAGAAGGCAATGCAGAAGGAATATCTCCCATCGCAATATCGTCAGGACATGTTCCTAAAACTTCACAACTTGCAGCAACGGGATCTTTCAACTGAGGAGTTCACGACCCAATTTGACCACTTGCAGTTGAAGTGCAAGCTGACAGAGCCAGAGGAACACACGATCGCCATATACCTCGAGGGTCTAAAGTTTGCCATTAGCAATGTGGTACAGCTACAACTATACTAGACGTTGGGTAGCCATGAAGGTGGAGAGGCAACAGAAGTAAAGCAGACAACAGTCGTCCCTCAGTCCTCCATCTTCAGCCAAGCAAACAACTACAACTTCTACAACCACCAATGATACCTCGAGAAGAAATAACAAAATTGGATAGAGAACTGATATAACAGATCAGAGTGGGAAGCAAAAGAATGGTGGTTCCTCCAATATAGTGTCAGCCAGAAAATGTTTGAGGTGTCACGACTACGGTCACATAGCCTCCAACTGCCTAATAAGACGAGTTGTCACTCTCACATATCATGGTGCCGTCGAGGACGTTGATGAAGAGTCAGAGGATAGTTCAAAAGATTAGCTTCAACTCCATGGAGACGAGGTAGAAGTGTTAGTCGTTTGGTGAGTGTTGTAGTTCGAACTAGAATGGGACCAATCCTGGTTAAGGTATAACATTTTTTCGCACCAAGTGCACTGTCAAGGAGAATGTCTGTTGCCTGATCATCGACAGTGGGAGCTGTGAAAATGTGCTGTCCACGCTTATGGTGAAAAATTTGGGATTGGACACAGAAGCATCCTAAGTTATATTCCCTTGCCCGATTAAAGAAGGAAAGTGAGATATGTGTGGATCAACAATGCCTAGTTGATTTCTTTATCTGAAACTAGCTACAGGAAAAAGTATGGCACGACGTGGTTCCTATGGACACGTGCCACATTTTGTTAGGTAAGCCTTGGCAATTCGACCTGAAGACTCAGCACGACAGTTTTAAGAACACTTATTCTTTTATGAAGGATGAGAAACTTATCATCTTGTTACATGTTTAGGATACGAAATGCGGGAACGATATAGAGGCAACATTAGTTCCTCAGATCACTTTCTTGCATTCAGTTAGGGATGTGCCCCGTAACATTAACATTAGTCCTCCTGGAAGGAAGCGAGGAGGAAAGAGAGGTACCAACACAACTGCAACCATTACTACATGACTTTTGTGTTGTTATGACCAATAATTTACTGGAGTTATTACTACCACTAAGGGACATCCAACACGCCATAGACCTTATACTATGATCCTTATTGCCAAACCGATCAACCTTCAGATTGAGACCTGCGAAGTATGAAGAACTACAACGATAGGTGCAAGATCTCATTGCAAGGGAGCTAATCAGAGAAAGCACCAGCTCGTGTGCAATCCTTGCTATGATGGTGCCCAAAAAGGATGGGTCAAGGCGGATGTGCATTGACAGCTGAGTCATCAACAAGATTACCATCAAGTACCAATTTCTTATACCGCACTTAGATGATTTCTTAGATTAACTTCTTGGAGCCACTATCTTCTCCAAACTCGACTTGCACAACAGATATCACCAAACACCGATGAGACTGGGAGACGAGTGGAAGCAACCTTCAAGACACGGGACGGACTTTATAAGTGGATCGTTATTCCTTTCGGCCTGCTGACCGCGCCCAACACTTTAGTCATGTATTTTGGCCTCACATTGGAAAGTTTGTCGTTGTCTACTTAGACGACATTCTAGCATACAACTGGTCGGAGGAGAATCACATGCATCACCTGAAGGCTGTACTCGAGGTGTTGCAAGCAGAGCAACCTTATGCCTATCTGAAGAAATGTCACTTCATGACAAGTCAGCTATGCTTTCTAGATTACATCGTGTTTGGTGCAGACATTCAGTTAGATCTCATAAAGATATTATCAGCTGGGTCGCACGACAATCATTCACCGAGCTGAGACAATTTTTGGGACTAACATCATTCTATCGAAGATTAATCAGAAACTTCAGCACTATCATCTCCTCTCTGACTGAACTTTTGAAAAAGAAGTTTGCTTGGACAACAGCAACCCAAGATAATTTTGACACAACAACAACAACAAAGCCTTAATCCCACCACGTGGGGTCGGCTACAT